ACGAGGGTCCTGTGGCCCTCAGTGGCCCATCTGGATACCCAAATGGCCTGAATTCGAGCCCAGCACCCTCCCAACTCTGACAGCGGGTCCCCATGCATCCAAGACCTCGAGGCCCAGGTCCATTAGGGGAGGGCTGCCAGCTGGGCTTGGGAAGGTGGCAGCCTGACTACTGACTCGAAGCGGGTGGGAGAGCACCCATCACACAGACACTGTGGTGTGAAGGAAACCCAGAAATGCTCTTTTCCTCATTTTACACATGAGGAAACTGAGGCCCAGATGACACAGGAAAGGCCAGAAAGTGACCTCAAACAAGGTGAAGAGGGGAATAGGGCTGAAGAGCTGGCGGCTGCTGTACGGCACTGAGAGAGGAAGCCCTAGCCTGTATCTTCAGAACTGGTCTCAGGTGCTCGTCTTGGGGGCCCTGATTCTGGGTGTCTGAGGAAGAGGCAGAGCACAGTGAGATCAAGGTGATGGAGACCTCAGAGTGCTGATGCTTAACTATCTCATGTCCTTTCCCAGCAGGGCTGTCCTCCCTCTGCTGGGGTTCTAGAGACAGGGAGCTCACAACGCCTAAGTCGCCTAAGTCGGTTTCACAGGAAGTGGTTGAATCAGTTTTTCTTTCTTTTTTAAACCTGAAAAGGAGGAAGATGCTTATTAGCCTCAGTTTCCCTTTCCACAGAAAGGAAAGCTTTAACTGGCTCAATAGCCTTTTCTGCTGGGTCCCACAGAATCCAAGGCTTTTAAGGAGGCACCTCGGTCCGGAGCCACTGTTGGGATAAGGAGGCATCGGAGAAGAAAGGAGGCCGGAGTATTCGTGGGCACCTAGGGTGTGGGCTGAACCTCCAGGACTAAGACCCATGGGAGGCAAAGTGGGGTGTGTGGAGAGGGTTAAGTTGAGGCACACAGAGGGAGAGAGACTGATGTCTGACATGTGATTAAAACAAGGCCCTGGCTGTCAGCTCCAGCTGGGTTGCCTTGGGCTAGTTCCATAACTTCCCTGAGACAATGTTTCCACTGGCAAAATGGGCACCTACATTTCAAAGGGTGATGGTGAAGATCCAGCAAGAATTCACCTCAACTGCTGTAAACAAGCATGAGAGCATTGACAGCTGTCTCCACTCTTGCTGGTGCTTTCTCGGACCCAGCATTCCACAGACAGGTAAAAACACAGGCATAGAATGTACTGTCCAAGGTCAAAGAGTTTGCAGCTGAAAACACTATTAACTCCCTGTTCTGAGGCTACTGCTTTGCAGGAGGACCTTGGGGCCCAGAGAACAAGCAGGTGGCAAGTGGCCAGGTCAGATCTGCTTGCCTCCAGCCACCAGCAGAGACACTGTCTTAGGGTGAAAGGGCATGCTCTTCCCTCCAGCAAAGTTCTTGCTCTTCCCCACAGCATCATTCTTACAGTGATGCCTGCCTTGTTCCTAGAAGTTATGTGCACACACATATAAAATATTACATCATCAAAAACAGGTCACCGTAAAAGGTTGAACGAGATCTTTTCCGTGCTACTCAAGCCCAGCTCACTCTCACCACCAGCACAAACCTCTATTCCTTCACTTTCTCCTTCCCTCAGGAGCCTCACATCAGCTCAGGGAGCTGTTTCCTGCAACCTTTACATGGTGCTGGCTCACCCCAGGCCATGTCCCTGGCATCAGGCACTGTTGCGACACCACAAAGATGTCCATGTCAAGGGCTGTCTGTACCAAGGCCATATAAGCAGCAAATATCCCATTCAGTCACCTGTTGTCTTAGAAACAAAAACTGGGTAAATTTGGGCACAGCCTGCTCACTAGGAAGACAGCACAGAGCTGCAAATACAAGCATGCTCCTTCCTTGGAGAGAATGCACAGGACCACAACAGTTCTCGATTAACTCAAACCATCCTGCCTTGGACCTGGCGCCATGGGTGTGCCTCACTAAAGAGTCCAAGTCCCACAGGACAATTCTACACAGCGGGATGACTATTCAATGCTGACATCCAAAGCAGCACCCAGGAGGGACTCTGGCTGTGATGCAAAGACAACAGCCAGTGGTACAGGCTCCACAGTTGAGGCTCCCAGAATGTTTTCTCAACCTACCCCTTGTGAGCCTCCTCCAGTGGCCTGAGCCTATGTTTGGGGGATGCAGGTCTTAAAACTCTCATTTCTGTGTGTGATCTCAGGGAGGTGACTTACCCCATTTCCCTCACCTGTCCAATGAAGCAATGAAGCAACTCCTCCTTTGAAAGGACATCGTGAGGTTTAACAGGTGGGCATATCAAAGGGCCTGGTAGAGTGCTTGGCAGGGGCACCAGTCTCAGCTGGCTTTCATCATTTCCTCCTGTCCTGATCAGCCCAGCACCCAACCCTCTTTCAGTGCTGCGCTCCAAAGACTGCTGCAAAGCACAAGCCACACTGGCCATTCTGCCACCAGCTTGCCGGGTGGCCATGAGCAACGTCATCTCTCCCTAGCCTCAATCTCCCTATCTGTAAATGAGGCTGTTGGGGTTGCATGACCCCAAAGATCCTTTGACATCTGGGATATGCCAGTATCCCAAAGTCACTCCTATAAATACCACGCCTGCTGAATGCAAGTCTGGCTGAGCTGCAAGGCCACAGCTCCCACTGCTTGCCCCAAGAGCTGCACCCCACTCCTGCAGAGCCTGCCTTTCACCCACCCCGGTGGAGGGGTTGGATGTGGAGGGGGAGCCCTGAATTACAGTCCCTACCAGTAGGCCCATTTTTTGGGTGGCTGGAGGAAAGCAGTTTGCCTTCCCTGGGAAGCCTAGTCCCAAACCAAATTTCAATTCTTTCTTACTCATTCCAGAAGCTGCTTTGCCAGGTTAGGAAGAGGGGATGAACATGAGGCCAGGAATTTGGCCTAAGTCCCTCTGGTCTCTCAGGTCAACAGCTCCCTGCTTCACTCGGCCCTTCACAAAATGGCCAGGCATTCTGGCGTCCACATTGATGGCCAAAGAAACTGCATTCCATGAACAGGGGCAACATGACGCAGGGTCCTGCAGCAGGGCCTGGACTCACACCAGATTCTTTCAATCCGCGTGGCCACCACAGTCCTCTGAACTAAAGTTCAGCACAGGCCCAGTGCACACTAAGTACTTAGTAATGTAAATGCTACTTCTTCTGATTCAAGAGGAATCTAGAAAGTGCTCAAAGACAGAAAACCAAATAAATAATAAGAGAGCCTCAGCAGACGTGGAAGCAGCTAAGTGCCCATCAGTGAATAAAAGTATGAAGAAGCTGTGATGTGCTTCCCTGCGTGCATGTACATGAAGGAATATTATTCAGTTATAAAAAATAACAGAATCTTGTCATCTGCCACAACATGAGTGGGCTTTGCAAAGTGAGTCAGAAAAAGATACCTTATGTGATGGCACTTGTGTGTGGACTGGGAAAAAAAAATCCCAGTAATAAATCAAACCAAGCTCATAGACAGAGAACACTGATGCTGCCAGAGGCTGAGGTGGTGAAATGAGTGAAGGGGTCAAAAGTATATAGTTCCAGTTATGAAATCAGTAAGTCTTAGAGATAAAATGTACGGCGTGGGCCTAAACTACAATTAATAATCCTGCATTGTGTGCTCTCCCTGGTGGAGCAGCGGGTTAAAGCACCGCACTCTGAAGCTCTCTGAAGCCACCGCAGCACAGTTTGATCCCCGGCCAGGGAGGCGACCCACACGGTGAGGCAGACCTCTCCTGACCCGCCCGCTGCTCCCCTCGGCAGTGTACTTCATCAGTCTGCCTATTCTGCTCCTCACTCTGTCTCTGGTGAATCCTCTCACCCCCACCTCTGGCCTGCACCCCAGTTCTGTAAGGATAAATGAATAAATCTAAAATAACTAAATAACCCTGCATTGCATTTTTGAAAGATGCTAGAAGAGCAGATCATAAATATTTTCATCACAAGAAAACACAATTGTAACTATGTGTGGTATTGGATTAGCTTTATTGTGGTGATCATTTCCACAATAGTCACAGATACTGAATCATTATGTTGTATTCCTAAAATTAGACGTTATATGCCTGGTCTACTTTAACTAATAAGTTTAAAAGTGAATAAACAAGTACAGAAGAGGATCATAGAAGGTTGCATCTATATCCCCAAACCCAAGACAGACAAGGCGTACATTTACTAGATCGCAAAATCCGGGGTGGCCCCAGGCGTGGGAACCCTCCTGCACCCTGCAGCACCCCATACCTGTGCCAGGTCCCTGGTTGGTTCCAGGTCAGAGGGCACCAACCATACAGTTGCTCCTTTATCTCTGAACCAGGTCTCCTGAGTCAGGAGGACTCACAGAAGGGGTGTCCTCCGGCATTTATCATCTCCCCACTACCCTGCCCATGCAGGAAGTCTGTCCAGCATTACCACTCACTCCTTAAAGCTGCTCCAAGCATTACCATGGTGAAAAGAGGTCACAAGAATACTGTACACCTATTAACATTCTTCTGGGCCTCACACAGTTGCTTTGTGTAGGTTTTGTCATCCAGGTAAACAGCCAAAGAAGGAAAGTCCTGTGCAAAGAGCAACGCTCTTTATGCTGCTTCCAGCCCCAAAACACAGATGTCTGAGTATGCAGTCAGAGCTGATTCTGTCCTTAATGATTACCCCTTCCAAGAGGTAATGAAAGCGAAGTGACTCAGCCTGCTTCTTGTATTGCCTTGGCTGCTAGGAAGCTTCAAGTTGTCTATCTCAAATGCTCTTTCTTCAGTCAGAAATTCCTGATAGAACTCCTTTGGCACCTCATTTACTCCTTAGTCCCTATTTTAGTTAACTGTACTCAGTACCCTGGTATCTGGATGTTCACTGGTCTCTGCCAGATTCTCTGGTGTAGCAGAAACATGAATTCACCAACTGGTGAAGATTTACCAGAGTGCTGCCCAAATCACCACACTGGAAGCACAAACCTTCTCTGCTGAGGCCAACGGGGAGGGGTGTGTGCCCAGGAGTGCCATTTCCACCTCCCTGCTGAGTTGTGGAACCTATGCCAGCCTCTTGGCTTACCTGTCATGATCCTCTGGGCCTCGTAGGGCTCCATGTAGCCGGCACTCTCCCCCTTTCCCGATTTGCTCTTGAGATCATTCTTGGCATCAAAGGGATCTGAGTAGTCATCTGCGATGGTCACCTGCAGGGAGGAAGATGGCAGGGGTGTGAGTCAACCTTTAGCTTTTCTGCCTCACTTGTGTTCACAGTCAGGCTTTGCTCTGACAAACAAACTGAGCTTGTGCTAGGTGAGCAAAGTGGAGGACGAGGAGACAGGAAGCAGAGCTGGTGCCCACCCTCAGGGAACACCAATTCTTATGGGGTTAACAAATGGACCATACTCGGGGGCCCTCTGAGCCCCTGCGTGTAGCTTGGCCACTCCAAGCTAGAGAAGTGACAACAGAGAACAGGACGCCCAGGTGGAGGTGCCGAGGTGGGAACTGGGGGGGGGGGGGCGTCTTCAGGACAAGTGAGCTGCTCACTTTAATGGAACAGAATTGGAAGCAAGCTGGAAAGGAGGAGGCAGAAGGCCTAGAAATGCTGACATGCTCCAGAAGCTGGCTGTAGCGCAGAAGAACCTGTCTAGAAATAATTACGTTCAGCTTTCCATTTTCTCCAATCTGGAACACAACCATGCCTTGGGTCATCAGGCAACAATTCGGTGAGATCAACGCACTACAAAGATGACTGTGGCTCCAGACGGGCCCAAGGAGAACACAAAGGCGGCTCAGGTCAGAAGGGGCTTTGGAAGCGGCTGTTCTCCAACAGAGAAATGGGTCGAGGGAGGGCTGGGGCTCACCCAGACCCTCTGACAGATCTTCCACCTCCCAGGCCCTTCCTGACTCCCTCACTTGCCTGTATTCCAGAAAATAGCCCAGCCTTCTGCCAAGAGAGAAGTTCCACAACAAAAAGAGAGCGAGCTGACTGGAGGTGGACTGCAGGGGTAGGAAGGACACGAGAATCTGGGATTTCCCACAGTTCAGAGACAAATTCTACATTTTCCTTGGAGAGGGTGAAACTTCCAGGAGGATGAATAAACATGGCACCTTCTCCTAACCTTCAAGAAAGGCGCATTTACCAGAAGGGACGGGCAGGAACCCTGCTCCCCTTGCGCGCATCTGAGCTCCACCACAACATCCAGGGCCCCTTGGGCCACACATCTGGCAAAGGGCAAATCCACAAGACTCCGAGCCAGGCCACCCAGCTGCCTCTCCCAGGAGGGGGCAAATTAGCATTTCCCTCAACCCTTGGGGTTGCAGGAATTGTTATTTAAATTGTGGGTTTAATTAGAAACCACAGGAGCCTCCTCTCTTTCCCCAGCTCCTGGAATGTAAGGCATTTGAGGGGCCCATAAACCCAGGGGAAGGGAAAATCCCCCCTTTGTCTGTCCGGTAAATGGACGCTTGTGGCAGCAGCCTGGCAGGGTGGGTGAGTGACCTGGGCGCCGGGGAGCCATGTCCCGGAGAGACTGCAGGCAGCAGCCCCGCCAGTGGCGTGTGGCGGGGGTGGGCTGGCAGGGGCATGGTGGGCGGGATAGAACACAGGTCACCGCTCCCCCAAACAAGAGCAAGCCTATCGTTGAAAGGCCCAAGGTGGGTGCCCACCATCCGAGCATGCGTCCGGCCCACTGCTGCCTCACAGCCTTGGCAGCCGCAGCTGAGGGTCAGGATCTGAGTCCCCGCGGGAGCTTCCAGATGCTGACATTGTAATCGCGGCCTTTCTTGAGACTCACTGAGCTCAAATGACACCAGGCAGGGCGAAGATGGGGGTGGGGGAGAGCTGGGCCGGGAGATGTCTTTCATTTGATAGTTCTACTCTACCATTTGCAGAACGCATTAGGGAGAAAATTATACACGTGAACCACTGTCAAACAGAACAGCTCAGACGCCACGATCTGGTGGAAGGTTTTGTGCAGGAGAGTTCAAGGGAATGGAAGTCCAAACGGAGAAAATGATGAACCTGTTGTGGATGACATCTAATCTCGTTCCTCTTGTCCTGGCCTTCATTACTGTCTTTTCTCAACACCAATTTCCCCCATCTATTTTGCAATGTGGAAGGGAGCAAATATATTTCCCCAAAAATCATTCAGGGAGGGGGATGGTTTAGTTGGGGTGGGGTGGGGCAGGAAGAGAGAAGGCTGCAGGCTCCATAATCTAGAAATCAACATTCCAGCTCCTCTCTGAAGTGTTCAGAGATTTGCAAACACGGAGGCTTGCAGGATATGAAGCAAATCTTTGTTCACCCTGGGACGGGAGCTCTGGAAGGGCTTCGATTCAGCAGGCGCTATCTGTATTTTCTAATTAAAATGAGATCTGAGCTCGGGCTGTGACGGGGCCCCCAACTGCCTGCCCTGCTTACTTCCGTTTCAATAAGAATCTACAAATCCTAAAATCAGGAAAAGCCTCTGGTCTCTGCTGACATATGGTTCCAGTTATACCTGCTGACAGTTGAAAATCCTTCCGTTTAAAAAAAAAAAAGTTTAGATTCTGTTAGTTTAAGAAGCAAATCGGAAGGTTCCTAAAACGTATATTTAATCAATTTGCTTTCAAACTTCAAAGTGAGGTTGATGGAGGGGAGGGAATTTGAGGTTTCAGCAACCTGAAACTCAGCAAACACTCACTGAGCTGTCTGACCTTTTGCAAAATCACGTCCTAGTTTTGGGAGTAAAAATTTAACCAGGTGTCAGGGGAATTGAGTGGGCAGTTAACCAACAAAGCACCACGGGCCCAGCCACAAGCACTGGGCAGTGTGACCACGGTCCACATCACCCAGCTGAGCAGGCCAAGGGGGGGGTTGAGTGAAGATCATGGCTTTTCTGCATTAAAAGAAAGGAAATGTATATTCGCAGCTATGGGCTTTGTGTTCCTGATGGAGTTGCTTCTGCTTTGGTTTAGAAGGCTGCAGTCATCGGACAAGTTCCTCAAATGGAATTGAACAACCAGACCAAATGGAGCCATTCGGAACCGCTCTGCAGGCCAGGCCAGCTGCCACACAAGCTTTCCTTGACTCTCACTTTGGATTGGTGAAGACTTGACAGGGTATGGTCCTTCATGCGGCCTGCTCACAGTTAGGAAGGGAAGTGCAGATCCAGAGGAACACACCCTGGCCAGTCCTACCACTTCACCATGGAGTTGTGTGTGTGTGTGTGTGTGTGTGTGCGCGCGCGCACAGGGTGCCACACACAGGGTGGCCCCCAACTCAGCAGGCACCTTTCGGTTCCTGGCCTCCTGGGATAGGTGAACTTGTCCATTTCTGCCAAAGGAGCCCAGCTGTGGCTAAACCCACACAGGCTTTGGAGCAAAACTAAAGAATGCAGGTCAGTCCAGGATCCCTAAAAAACTTTCACACTCACATAGTAAAACTGGGGGGCTCTGGGAGATGTGCTACACACTTCCCTTGATTTGCACAGGATCCACTGCAGCCCTGAGGATTCTGGCATTCCACCGTGCCCACTCCCTCTCCAAGGTCTGGGAGCTGGGTGGGGTGGGTTGGGGTGGGGTGGAGGTGCTATGGGCTCCATAGGGCTCCTTTCTGTTATATACTCTGCTGAGTGGAACTCAGTCCTTCGCCACCAACAGTCTGAGACTCAGATTTTGTTTTTTAATCTTGGGGATTTAGCATTATGATAGGAAGCAGTGTTCCTGTTTACCCCAAAGGGGAGTACTGGAGTGAGGGGTGTTCCCCCTGCCCCTCCCGAGCCACAGTTCCACAGGCACCAGTGAGCGTACCAGGGCTTCCTGAGGTGGCTGAGCTGTGTGGGGAACTGGGTCCTCTCCACAAGCTCTCGGTGCAAATATAAATTGACAGTTGCTTTGAAGGACAGCTTTTGACAAAGTCTCTTAGAATCCAAAAATGTACATGGATTGGTGCAGTGCTTTCAGTTTCAGTGTTTATTCCTAAATGTGTACCGAAACATGGACAAAGATGCTCATTAGCCAAGCAGTGATGAGAACTGTGCTCAACTGCTGAATGTCAGCTGTGGAATTGTGAGGTAAACTGTGCCAGCTCTGTGTTGTGGAATATTATGCAGCAGGTTAAAAGGAGGGCAAATGCTCTGATGTGCCAACATTGTTCTCCACAACATAGTCTTGAATGGAACACAAACGAGTTGTAGAATGATAACCATAACACACCAATTTATAAAAAAAATGAAACAAACCTCTATTTCTATTTAATATAAAGAAAAGCCTCGAACTGAACCCCCCTTCCAGGGAGGGAGGAGAGACTAGGGTTGGGTGGTTAAAAGAATCAAAGAAGATCTGTCTGTAGCATTATCACATTTTTTAAACAAGAAAAACTTATTAACATATGCAAACTTTTTAAATACCCTCCTCACAGGCTAATTTTGGTACAGTAGATAGATAAGCTGTTTCCCAAACTTGCTTGAAGACAGGAATGGCCTGGAACGCATGTTAAAACGAGACAGATTCCTAGCCCCAAATACTCTATTTAATAAGCAACCCAGATGATTCTTATCAGGAAAGTTTGGGAAATAGTTTGCTATAGCCAGCACGCCCCCCACCAGCCTCCAGATACTTCTCTGGACTTTTACTTTTCCCAGGTATTTCTCAGCCCTGTTCTCTAAAGTGAAGCAAGAGGCCTAGGTAAATGCAGTTCTCTTGCTTCCTTCTCTGGGGGTCAACTGGAAGAAGAGATGACCTAACATGTCTTGGTCCATCTCCAGAATTTAAGACGCGGAGCTAATGGCATCCTCCGAGCAATCCTGAGGGTTGGCCCCAGATTGGGCAACAGGGCCTGTGTAGGGTTCTGCAGGCAAGACCCTGCCCTGGCCCACGAGGGGAGCTGGGCCCGCACTTTGGGCAAAACTCTCTGCTCAAGAGCAGAGATCCTTCCAGGGCAAGTTCACCGGACTCTCGCTGCTCTCCAGGGTGACCCCCTGGCTCTGGCAAAGGGCTGGAGGGACCATGGAGAACAGTCACTGAGAATTTGCAAAGGGCATCGCTGCTAACGTCTTTCAAACCCGCCACAAGGGAGGGATAAGAGTGGGAGCAGCCGCCCCCTTCTGGGGCGGGGATCCATAACGTCCCCAGTGGCCCACCACAGGCACCTCCATGGGCCTCCCACGCGCTCTGGTGTCTCTGGGAACCGGCAGCACCAGGGCTGCCCCAGCTCAGCCACCTG